TTCACTTCGTAACACACGTAAATCATTTCCGATTTATATGTTCGTTTCCCGTGATTCATATTTACTATTTTACACTACTACTACATCAATGAACACTGGTACAACAAATAGAAGTAAGTTTATTGAAATCAATTAAATCAATATGAATTAATATTAATTAATAATCAATTAATCATACATACATACACTCAGTGGACAAAAGTTTATGTCCAAAATTTCTCATGTATTTTTTTCAAATTTATACTAAATAAAATTTCATGATTTTTATATCATTTGAAAGCTCTGGTTCTCACAATTATATTGCAAGCATGTAAAATACAGCTTGTGATGTGTCCAATAAATATATAAAATAAAATAAATGAAAAAGTCCAATATATAGATCTCTCTGTATCAGCACACAGCTCAGGGTTCTCAATTCTCTATCCCAGGCCTCTGTATTAGCACACAGCTCAGAGCCTACTCAAAATACTCTATTACACAATTCTCTCTCTCTCTCTCTCCACAGTACTAATGCTAAGTACTGCTGGCACAAGCCTAAGATAATAAAATAAAAAAAATATATACAAGAAATGTTTACAGTTATACCACTTGAGGCATCCCTACAAGCAAGCATAGAATAATCAAACAGGGGGGGTATTTATTCAATTGTTATAGATTATTATGAATGTTATTAACATGATCCACACTATTTTCACTTGGCCTAAAACCAAGCCTTTTTATACCTCTTGAGGTATTACAAATAACATGACTTTTACAATATTTTGTCCAATAAATATGCTTATTAATCCTATTTTCTGTATTACTAGCTTACTAATTGCTAATTACTAATGCTACTAAATATTTGGGTCAACTGAGCAATACAAATAATTTGATTAATAATTCGAAGTAAATAATTATGTCATAAAAATAAGTTAAATATAAAAATGATGTAATGATCTACATGTTAAATGTGGCGCAATGTGTGGCGCAACCATTACAATAACTATATAGTACATACTGTAGAAAGTTGATCATTAATCGTGATGTAATATTCAGCACATCACATGACTTCCGTATTAAGTTCGTTCTAATTGGTCAATATTAACGGGCAATTGGTTGGTCCACGGTTTACAATCTCACAATATTCATTATCAATTTATTTCTTTATTTTGATTTTTTATAATGAAAAAAAAATGAAAATAACAAATGATCTAAAAATTGCAAAATGTTGATCATTTATTTATTTTGAAATATTTTTTTAATATCTGGTAGGCCACCCATTTTTGGCAATACATTCTTCTATTCTTCTAGGCATACTATCAATTAAATTCAAATAAGATTCATCCAGTAATTTCATCAAAAATATATATTATTATTATTATTATTATTATTTTTCACTTTTTTTCCCCCTTTTAATTAATGGAATTTATATACCAAATCAAAATCTATTATAATTTATAATTAATAAATGACAATTTCTTAATTAATAACATCATAATCATTCACTATTATATTATTATATATTACTAATTATTATTAATGTCTTCTCATTCTTTTTTTTTTTTTTTATAATATTATTTTTATTAAGAAATTTCTTTTTTACCTTGCTTCATTTCATTCAATCAAGGAAAAAATCTCCAAATAAATATATCAATAAAAGTGTTTCTAACAAAGACATTGTTTTGTTTTTTTTTTTTTTTATTAATATTAACAATATTTCTTATAAAATTTCAGCCCTGGAGATTGAAAAAAAATAGAATATTAAATTTGATAACATGTCATTTCTTCCAACTGATCAACAAATAAAAGACATTCAAGAAGCTGGCATACCATTAACTATGAAAAAAATACTGAATTCTGGGTTAAGGTTTTAACTAACTATAGAGAAAAACATCATAATGGAATTCCAATTGAATCAGTTAATGACAAAAAAATATTAGAAAAACAATTATGTGAATTTGTTGTTGGTGTGTGAAGAGATGATGGTGAAGAATATTTGTCATTAAAAAATTGTATGGCTGCAATTGATAGACATTTGAAAAGTCACATTGTAATTAAAGATCAAATTACCTTAAGGGTAGAGTTCAGTTACACAGTACATCATATGGCAAAAAAATCACATGGCCACAATTTTAAGGTTTGAACAAATAAGACTTCTTGTAAATTGTGAAACTTAGATGAAACTTTGTATATATACTCTGGGATTAAAACTATTGAACAATGTGCTTTTGTTAATAAAGTTTTACTAAAAAGGTAATGTGAAGTTCAACATATGTTACAAATTCTATAAGTAAAGTTATGAATTCTTGTCCTCTACTATATGTTTTTGTTAAATTAAGGAACACTAAATGAACGGTCTTCAAGTTAACCTTAATAGCTATTGATTTATAAAAAAATTAGAATCTTATAAGACAAGGTTGTACTAATAATATTTCATTTTTATATTATATGGGGCGCAGAAAATAGAAACAGCCCTAACTACCAAAATTGTGATTTTGAGTTAATAACATTTTTATATGTAATTCGCCACTGAAATTAATTTTAGCTTAGAAACAATACCCACTTTACTTAGTAAAATTTTGAGGTATTTTCTGTTAAAGTTTTTAAAACAATAGTAAATTACTTGAAATGTAGATATTTTTTTCCGATTTTCTCAAAATTGAGATTTTGCAGTTAGGGCTGTTTCTATTTTCCGTGCCCCATATATATATATGCATGTATGTATGTATGCATGCATGTATGTATGTATGTATAGTAATAAATAGAAACAAGACTACCTTGGCATGAATCATTACTAGCTTTTAACATCAGTTACAAACTCTTTACATGAGCAAATAATTTAATAAGAAACATTTTTTTGGAATAGTGATACATTCAAGTAGGTTATTCTCCATTATTTTACATTTTGTAATGTATTATTAATTTTTTAATTCACAATTTATCCAACAATAAAGTTAGATTGGTAATTTATGGTTGAAGGTTGAGAATGCCACCACTCACTTGTTGGCTTTCATTCATTAATTCATTTGCCTAAGCTCAAGATCCTGT